AGCTTAATGTAAGGTAAAGTGCCGCAGGACACATGTGCTGCAGGACTGGGCAAGCAGTGCTGGAGAGAGGGGTGCTGAGATCAGTTTGATTCATCTCCTTTTCTTACGTTAAGATGGAAGCAAAAATTTCTCAGCGCAACTTTTTATTTTGTCAGCACTGGATTTGAACGACAGGACACTGGAGATCAGTCGTGATGTGATGCAGTGAGGAGCACAAGAGCAAGTTCCTGAGCACACAGTCAAATCCTGTCATAGAGTAGAATCACAGAATCACTCATGTTGGAAAAGACCTTAAAGATCATCAAGTCCTGAGATGGATAACTTTGTATTGGAATTGGGAAGATTTTTCATGGCTTTTACATGGATTCCACTTTAACATTGGATTTGGTTAAAGTGGCACAGATGTCATTTTTTCTTGCTCATATTTTAATGAAAAAGTGTCGGACCTGCAGGTAAATGGTACTGAAATATCAAACTTTATTTTGCTGTAGCTCTGTGTGCTGAAAATGTTTTTATTTATTTATTTATTTATTTTTTCTGATGAGGAGTTGCCTTATGGTTCTGAGAGGAAGATAGCAGTTGTAATCTGCAGCTATTTCATCCTTGCTAGAACGTTCAAGAACCAAGCAAGCTTTAGATCAAGAAGACTGGGTGCCGGAAATGATAGTTTGTGGTGATTAGATAGGTGGTGCCCTATTTGCATGAGAATTGGTGAGAATGTGGAAGCTTAAAGACAGAAGTTTGAATTTTGAAACCCTTTCAGTGCTTGTTTGATAGAAGAGAGCTGCTTGCCTCCTGCTGGTATCTATCCAGCAGTAGAGCCACACCTGAAGCTCTCCAGTGGGATGTCTGCAGGTGGTGATGAAGGGATGGAGGAGGACAGGGACCATGATGGATACAGTCTGCTGGGAACTAAGAATGAAGGCAGTGAGGAAAATAAATGTCGGGTTGGACCTTTGATGTGTGGTGGTTACCATTCTGCCTGAGAAGTGAAGATCTCCTGGCTTTGCGAGCTGGAAGGTCAAGAGGGGAGAAAGTACTGAGGTAACTTGAGGAGGCATTGGCATGGAATTTGAGAGATGATATTCCTCAAATACATCCTTGTAGTTGGCCTCAGAAAATCTTGTGGTGATAAGGTTTAGTGAGTAATTACGTTTTTCTCCTCATCAGTGTAGATGTTCCTTCAACTTGGTTGACTTTTCCTTTGTTCAAGTGCAGTGGCCAAGGGCACCAGCTCATGCTGCCATCCCAGTGGTAGGACAGTCATGCCTCAAGTTTATTGGACGAAGTGGTGATGGGTTGAGGTTGGACTTGATGGTATTGGAGGCCTTCTCCAGCCTTTATAATTCTGTGGAAGTGAGTGAATTTATGCTCTGCTTGAACAGCCTTGCTAGAGAAGAATTGTCACCTTCTAAAGCTATTTAATAGCTAATGTGCTATTAAATTACAGCAGGTGTTTGGAAGTGCTCGTAGGAGAAGGCTGGGCCCAGACATCTTATTCCTCCATCCTCATACCTGACAGGTGCCGTTTCCCACCCACCAGACAAAGGAGTTACTCGCCACTGAGTCAAAGCCAGATGTTTAATGGGGCTCAGGGCTTTTTCCCTGTTGGCCCTGCTGCATTGCAGTTGTTTAAGTACTATAGACTTCAATAGGCAGTGCTGGCTGCACTGCACCATGCAGTTCTGGCATGCTGCAGGAAAGCACTGCTTTTCCCTGACACTGTGGTCAGTCTCTTAGATGCACGAATGCCTTGTGAAAGTTGGTCTAAGATAAAGCAGCTGTGCTTCACAAAAATAATCATTGAGACACTTCATGGTTAGGAGAATTCTCCATATCCTTCAGAACAGCAATTACACCATTTTTAAAATATATGTTTTTCTACATACATATGCACGCCCACAAGCTATAATTTTTAAAGGGTTCCCCTTCCCTTCCAATAAAAGCTACCTTTCCTCCCTGGGTTGATTATGGTTTTTGTTCTGGGTGGGGCCATCTAACAACCTGGGACAGCCCCAGCAGCAGCTGGCCAGCTGCCATGCAGCTGGGTGATCTGCAGACGCTTTCCTCTGCAAGACAAATCTGTAGGGTTAAGATAGCAAAGGACTCCATTTAAGAGCATAATTAAGAATAGTTTGCCTGAAAGGCGTAGCATGCAAGCCAATAAAGTGAGGGGAACTAAGGCTAATGCTGGATTCTCAGCTGCTTTGCTTCTAACTATGTGAAAGATGTGCATTATCTAACCTTAGTGACAGTATCTCATAAACAGAAAAAAGCCAAATATTTTCACCCACCTCATTGCTGCACATTCTGGAATAGCTGAATTGCCAGGCTGTCATCAGAAAGTGCATGGGGCAGGCTTCAGTGTGATTGCTTCACTTCATGGTGCTCCAAGCCAGCCAAGTGCCCTGGAGTCTGCAGGCTGGTCCTGAGCTTGGGAGAGGTGGATGGCTTGCAAGTAGTCAGAGCTTTGGTGTGTTCTCATAAAGTTAAATCTCAAGGAAAACAAACAGCTTCTGTGTGCAGGAAGCAAGGTCCATATATGGACCTGAAATATTTGAATACCTCCCCAGCATTTATCAACTCTGGTGTGAGGAAAGGAGTATTGCCTATTCTAGGCTTATGGATGGAAACTGAAGACAAGATTTTGGATTGAGGGAAGTCTTGAAAATTCAGTGTGCACTTTCTGAGTGCTGATCTAGTGACTGCACCACGCTGTCATGCCCTAACCTTCATTTTTCCTTTCTTTCTTATATTTTTCTACATCCCTTGGCATCGATCACATGTTGGGAAATGTCTGTGGCTGGAGCCCAGTAAGATGGGTCCAAGCTCCCAGGGTAGTGCAGCGTCACCAATAACTTGATCACGTAGCAAAGTGTGCCAAGCGATTATATGAATGGAGCCAGAGCTGCACCTTGCTTACCTTGCCAAAGGCGAACCCTTCTGCAGGACAAGGTCCTTTTCTTATAAGGGGCAGAGGTCTTCTTGCTGAGATAGGGGATGGAAACTAGCTTTTCTTGCTTGATAGGAAGTGGCTCTTCAAATTGGGAGAAGTGGTGTCACATCTGGACATGCCGATGTTGAGCACATGGATAAAATTGGTGGTCCTGATGGCAAAGATTGTAAAAGAGCTGTAGGTTGTGCTATCAGCCTGGATGGGAAAATGAAAAGCTGATGGCTTAGTGCCCCACCACAATGTGGTTATAATGGGCAGCGTTTAGATCAGGGCAACTAAGTTGTACACATAGGTATCCAGCAGTACGCAAAAATCACTAAGCATAGAGAAATCACTGAGAAGTGCAAATTATTGATGGAAATTACAAAGTACTAAGTAACTCCTGATTTCTTGACTTTTTTTTTTCTTTTCCCTTTAAGTGGATGATTTCTGCAGAAAAGTAACTGAAGACAGCATTACTTCTGGGACAGCCAGAGGCTCCCATTGGGGTAGTAAGTGACAGAGAAAGCTGAATTGAAGGTGGCAGTTTTCAAGCCTGGTTGGAGGAGCAGCAGTTTGTCTGGATGGCTTTTGCAGATGGATGGGAAAGAGGGTGGTATCTAAAGCCTTTTACCTCAGAAGAAAGCTTGAAATTTAATGGGACTTCTCTAGAAGTCCAAGGAATCAATGTAAAATCAAGACCAATACTGAGCCTTGGAAGACAGGAGATGGTTGAGGCAGAAAGGCATGATTGGGTTTATTTGTTCTTTATCTATATGGACCATAGAAGAAGAGAACACAAGTTATCCTGGATGGAAGCAGCTCAGTTTTTACTAGGAAATCAGCTGGAGTGTTTTACTCAATTCTGAGCATCGGGAAGCGAAGGCATTAAAGTTGCCATGGATGAAGTCTAGGAAATACAAAGGTAACTGGATACCTCTGTAGGCATGCTTGCCTCATTTCCTGTACCAGAACACTGTGTTGAGGACTCAGATCAAAAATATTGTTAAAAACTTAGTTTCTTGGTTCTGGGAGTGCATGGCACGTGCCAAGTGCAGTGCAGGTAGTATAACTGAATGTTCTGAAAGCTTTCTATCAGACTGCTCAAAGTCCTCAGAGCAATAGAGATAAAATCTAAGCGTGTGTGTGCTGTGCTGAGAGGTTAGTAGCTTTCATTGTGTAGCAAGAAGGAAGGAGCATCTATAAAATAAAGTGGGCAAAGGGAGAACTTCAGGGTGTTTTTTGCCAGATTGGCCCTGCTGCAGGAGGTTGGCCCTGGGCAAGTCCCCTTGCGCCTCTTGATCTGTCCTCCAGATGGGTGCAGGTTGAGCTTTTCCCTCCTGATGAGCTCCCCTGGGGGCCTGGAGGTGGACGTAGATGCCCCCATGGTAGAGACTCTTTGTGACCTTTCATGATGAGCAGTTTCTTCCAGAAATTTATTGTTGTGAGCTTATGATGTACTGTCTTTGAAAGCCCTTCAAAGAGCTGGCGGAGCTTCTTTTAAGAGTGTGGCATGGTTCGCATAGGCCTGGTGATCTGAGCTGAGGTGATTCCTGTTTCCTTCCATCTGAGGTACCAGCTGGAGTCACAGTTGTGTTTTTACTGCAATGCTGTCATGGTTACGGGGCAATTTCTGAGGGCCATCTTCCATGCTCCATTTGGCTCCCTTGAGTTCCTGGGTTATGTGAGCTCCATGGTTTTTCCACCACTGTGGAGACCAATTCCCTTACACATACCATGTGGGTGTTAGCCTTGGGGCTCCACTTGGCTCGTCCTGCTCTCCTCGTCCCCATCTCTAATGGCATAGCACAGCTTGTTTGATGTCTGTGTTGACATTGGGAAACTCAGTGGAGCCGTTCCTTGTCGTTCGGTGGGTCTCTTCACTATGGGGGTCTTGAGCACTCAAGACCACGCATTGCGGAGGCGGATTTCCATCTTGGCCACAAACTCTGCAAATGCACTGCGATCGGATCGGTGCTGCCGAAATACCGCCCTCAAGAAAAACACCCTGATGAGAATGTGTGATGCTCACAAAAGGTTCTGTTTTGTTTTGTTGCCATTGCAGTGACAGCTATATTGTGCGAGTCAAAGCTGTGGTTATGACCCGAGATGACTCCAGTGGGGGATGGCTGCCGCAAGAAGGAGGCGGCCTCAGTAGAGTTGGCGTCTGCAAGGTCACGTACCCAGAGGGCAATGGAAGAAGTGGATTTCTAATCCATGGTGAAAGGCAGAAAGACAAACTGGTAATAGAACCTAATTCAACTTTTGTCTGTTCTTATAATGAGAATTATCCCGTATCTGATGCTATTGTGTTCTTGTGCAAGATTTGAAAAATAAAAATAAAAAAGGCATGTACAGATAGAGCCAGATTGTACAAAGCAATCCCATCCTCATCTAGAAGACTGTTGCCATCTCTCACTGTCCGGCCGTCATGCTGCACGAGCAGGTAAATTTTCAACATCCGTGTGCAAAGAACCCCCCTCTGATTCCTTGAGAAAGAGCCTGCGTTTTTCTCACATCTAGCAGGGCTTTGTGAGAAGTGAATTGAAGTGTAAAGAATCCATGAAGCCAGTCACATTGCACTGAGTAATGCAGCGCAAGACTTTAAAAATGGCAATGAATTATTTATGCTGCGTGCTGCTCAAGGTTCGAACAAGCAGGGTGAGAATATGAAGACAAGTTGTCTCTTATGAATTGACGCACTCGGTTTCTTCTGGTAGCTGTTTAGATGGAGGAAAAAAAAAAAGATGCTTTCCTTTCCCGTACAAAGCAAATTAATAAAGCCTCTTCCTTTTTTGCAGAGTCTGGTTTAACTGTTGTATTTTGTTACCGCATTTTTATATATTCGATTCTTCTGAAATCCACTCTTATGAAGAGATGGGCTGGCTTAAAAATAGGCTCCCCACACAGGCTCAGGAAGCTGAGTGCTTGGGAAAAAGTGTATATATATCACTTGAGATGGAAATGGCCCTGCTTTCAAAAGTTCTGGTGCTTTAAAGCTGTTTCTAGTGCAGCTCATCTTTTGCGTTAGTGTTTTGCTTAGGATGCTTTTTTTTTTACATTATTTTCAAGCAGTACTTAGGTTTGGGGGAAACAGGGTAAGACTTAAAAGCTGTTTCTGTTCTCCTTGAGCATCACCTTAGAAATGATTTCTGGCACAGCAGCATGGCTGGGCATGAGGGAGGAAAGAGAAGTGGGGGAGTGTAATGGCGCCTCCTAAATCTGCCCCAGCGAAAAGTACCTACTCAAAGCCTAATGAAAAGATGAATGTGTGATGCTTATGAGAACAATTAAAGGATCTGGTGTTTATTAGTCATAATTTAGTAGGGAAGGATGTGCTCTCTACCAGCATAGCGCAAATCATGACTTGGCTTGCTTTTGGGGAGAGGAAGGCACTGGTTGAGGCTGAAGTGGTGACATCTGTGTCTTTGGTATGGGAAAAGTGACTTTGCTCCTCTCCTTTTCCCAGGTGGTGCTGGAGTGCTTCGTGAAGAAGGACCTGGTGTACACCAAGGCGAACCCGACCTTCCACCACTGGAAAGTGGACAACAGGAAGTTTGGGCTCACTTTTCAAAGCCCCGCCGACGCTCGAGCCTTTGACAGAGGCGTGAGGAAAGCCATTGAGGACCTCATTGAAGGTACTAGGGCGTGTGGAAACTTGAAGTGTGTTCAAAGCAAGGAGATGGGGAGATGTCAGGGTTGAATATCAGCCCTTGGGCTTGGAAGTCTCTTTGGTACTTCCAAGCATGCCAGGGAAGCTCACTTCAGAGAGCTGTGTCTCTCCATTCCTTCAGGAGAGAAGGGATTTAAGCCTAAGAACTCTTTCATCCCGTCTGAGCTGGTCTGCCAGGATCTCACCCGTTAGTTGTTGTGTGGGTATGACTGCTTTTTTGATAGGCTGTGCTTTCGTGTTAGGGACAACAACAGCCCAGGCTCGCCTTTATGTGTAGCCGAATCTACTTACACTGAGTCTTTGTTAAATCAGCCGAGGATGAATTCCTGCACGAAGCTGAATTAAAACTTTGTTTTGTTTTTGCAGTAATTACTTTTGTCTGTGTCCGCTTGGCTGAATGGCTGTGCTTGAAGACTTTGTTGTTTGTTGGTTTTTTTTTGGTAATTCTTTAAAAATGCATTTGAATTGCCCATGCTTTGAAGAGGTCATAAATTCTTCCTCTTCACATCTCGCTGCAATCAGTCATAATACAACTATAATCCAGTACTACTTGATTTTATTTACATGAAAATTAATTCTCTGATTTTTAGCCATCCCACTTCATGCAGGGGCTCAGTGCCCTGTCCTTGCTTTACCATGTAAGGGATAGGTACAGAGTGGGAATTAATCCTCCATGGCCCTTTCCTGCTTTGAGGAAGGATCTTTTCAACTACTGGCCATTCGCTTTTTCCTGTTTGTTTGTTGACCTGAACAAATCATGGCTGACCCTCTGCTTTCTTCCTGCTTGCTAACACAGGAAGCATTTTGATTCACAAAAGTAACATTTTATAGAAATGACACATGGCCAAGCAACATTTAAAGATTTTAGCTCAGTTGTATGGAGTATTTTGGAGATGCACCCAGTACATGGCAACTCCTATTCTTCTCTTTTTGATCCATTTTGCAGTGGAAGTATTTAAAACCGAGTTCCTCTGCATCTCAGATACTTCAAAATCAGCAACTCTATATTTATCGCATTAACAGCACAGACTGATCCTCATGAATGTGCTCCTGCTTAACTTCCAAATAAGGCTTTCTGAATGGAAAACAATCACTGGCACGTGCACACACAGTGTCAGGCCTTGGCTTTCATTTGCTGCTCGTTTTTTGTTTGCTTCATCAAATTCAGCAGGTAATATTAAGCAGGGCAAACCGTGCATCTGAAGCTTCATGAAATCACTGCTCTATCCAGTAGGTTATTTCATGTTGCTTTGAAAACCTGTAAGTTTTGTGCACAAGTATAGTAATCCTGGGCAGCTTTGTAGAGAAAATCTAGATTTTTTTTCATTTTTTATTTTTTATTTTTTATTTTAAAGCTATTGTAGCAACCTGCTTGAACGTTTTCACATTAACTTAGTGTTTTAAGTGGGCTTTCACACTTGGCTCTGCACATCTTCCTGCTTACGCAACGGAATGCAGCCAAGGCTGCTAGAGTTTAGCATTATATAAGGAACATTATTTAGGAAAAATTTCCAGAGTGAAGGTGCTACAAAGCATTTAGCTATTCTAGTTAGAGATGAATGTGGCTGCAACCCAGTATGATGAAGCACCTCAATGAGGGGACACCAATGGGGTGAGAGGAGAGATCAGAGATATAGGATACGATTTCCCACTTTTTGAGGCAGTTGTGAGTATTTTCTGTCTTTTTTTATGGCTTTGTGAATTTCAGTTCCTTTCAGATACATTGCTTACATGGGGAAGGATGATTGTCTGACGAATAGCTGATAGCAGAGATGTTTAATTGTATTTAATAACTTGCTAATTTACAAGAAGAAAAAAAAGCATCAAAAACTTCCTTTTCAAAGTAAGGTTTGTTTTTCAATACAAAGTAATTTTTCTTCCCCAATTTCAGAGCATTCTTGAGGAGTAACTCATGAGTGGCCCTAAGCACCGATCAGCGCGTAGCTTTACCGTTCTTCAGAAATGAAAGCCTTCTGCAACTGGAAATGCTGACTGCTATTTTTAGCAGAGTTAATTAGCATTGGCAGCGGTGTAGTTACATGTCAAGAAACACTCTCAGATGTTACCTTTCCAACCCAGCTAACAGCAGGTGGTTTTTCTTCCAAAAAAAGCCGCTTTTTACATCTGTCCAGCAAACAAAGTTGTTAGCCTGCAAGCATTCACCAGCCTGGTAATAATAACAATTGGAAAAGTGGTGTGGAAGTGTTGTATTTAAAAAAAAAAACTGTTTATTTCTAGGGTCTACTACTTCCTCTTCAACGCTTCACAACGAGGCTGAGGTTGGCGACGATGATGTCTTCACAGTAAGTGCATCTCCCTTCAGGTCATTCTCCTTTGTGCTCTGGTTTTACACTGTCAGGTTTGAAAGGCTTAAGGGTTTTTTGTTGTTGTTGTTTTATTACCTGGGTTTGGCTTCCGGCTTTAATTACGTTTGTACAGTGGGTGTATTTTATTTGATGGAAGCATAAATCCTGCAGAAGGTAAACCTCTGCAGGAGCAGTTGGGTTTCTCTTGATCTCCCATTGCCACGTGAAATGCATGACAAAGCAGAGCAGATGTTGTCAGGGCTGGAAGTGAGCAAGTAATGTCCCTCCAGTTTAATATGCCTTGGTCTGAGTTGTTCTTCTCTGTATGCAAGTACAGTAGGTAGCTGCTTCTCAGGTGTGCAGTCAAGGAAATGAAGTTCTGAAAAATTGCCTTTGTTATTGGGAACAAAAGTCAACCTTGAAGGCGTTCGGTGCGTACGTGAAGGTAGAAAGTTCAGACAGCAGGAGGAAGGCACACTGGTACATGAGCTACCCAACCAGTGGTGGCTGAAGGAGGAGTGAGTTGCTCATAGTGAATTTGTGGTAATGTCTGAAATGTGTTTTGGAGCTTTTTTGAAACAGGAGCACCTCCTGTTCCTGCTGCACTTGAACACTTTGAAAAGGAGGAGGAAAAAAAAAAGCACAACAAAAACAGTGAATATGTCAGATGAAATTGTAATCTGATCACTGATATTCCATGGACTGAAAACAACGCTCACAATGAGTACTTTGTTTTACTACACTTATTTACCTGGCTCCACTCACAACCCCCTTCCTTACACAATAAATGCCCTCGTTGCATGGTGCAGGTGGGGGTGGGCTGCCAGGTGGGATGTCCTTGTTCAGATCCTTCTTTGGGACACCCCTTTGCACCTACAGGGAGCAAGGCAGGGCTGAGGATGGGGAGGAGTGCTATCCATCCAGCCAAAAGGTGCTTTGAAGGCCAAGTGAGATGGCACAGGACAGGGTTTTGTGCTATGCTCCCACCCAGCTGCTGGCACATCATCTGGCCTGTCCTTTTGTCATGGCTCCAGAGGCAAACAACAGCAGGCAGGGTTAAAAGGTGACTTCCTGTGCTCGGCAGAAAACCCATCATTAGCAGCTGCTTCCCAGCTACCTGCCAGGGGTGATTTATAGGCGCAGAGCTGGGGGAGGCCCTGCTGGAGCCAGGCCAGCTTACCAATTTGTGCTGTTTTGTCCCCAAAGCAGGGCTTTTCTGTTGTTATCGGAGTGAGGATGGAGTGAGGATGGTCGCTGAATGCGTGGGCATCCACCAACCAGCTCTCACTGGGTGAAGCATGGAAATGCTCCGTGTTAAAGCAGTGAAAAGCAGCCTGCAGAAAGAGCAAAGGAGACTTTTTATTTTTTTTAAACTACAATCCTGCCAGTTGACATTTGGGGATGCTCCTGTATTCGTCCACAGACCCAACATTATGTTGATTTTTAAACTGGCAGTACTTGTTACAGGAGGAGGAAATTGATGCCATTTGGGATGTGTTGCATTATTTCAGGGAATCTGAGCGAGCCGTGCACCCAATCCACTCAAACTCCTGCATTCCCCCAAAATGCTGAGGCTCTTCCCTCAGCCTCACCTGGGTGCTCATCACCCAGCATCTTGGGTTTCTTGGGCTGAATCTCTCCTTTCACTGCAGTAAAGTTCTTTGAAGTTCTTGGCTTGCCATTCATCTGGGAATCCTGATAGGTGATGGTGGAGCCTGAGATCTGCATAAGCCAGAAATAACACACTGAAGTGTATAGAGCTTTTAGACTGGAAGAAATTAATGTGCAGTGTTTTTTGGAGGCTGGTTTGTGTTCTGGTATTTTTACCCTTCTGTTTCATTCTTTCTTTACACCCCTTTTAAGCTTATATGTGATAGTCCATTTGGTCCTCCTTGCCCAGAAAGCATTTATTACAACTCTCCTGTAAACGCTTTTCCCCAGCCACAGCAATAGATTGTTAGGGTTTGGTTTTTCACTCTGTTTTAAAGAGAAAGCACATTTGCTCTTTTTATTTCCTAAGGTAGTTATTAAAATCTTTGCAGTCCTCCCCCTCTCCCACACATGGATGAATAAACTTGACTGCGTGCGGCAGAATTTTCAGAAGCATCTGCATGATTGAGTCATTTAAGCAGTCATTTACGCATCTCTGAAAATCCCAGCCGCTGCCTCCAGTCCTTGCTGCAAGGTCCTGCCTCTCCTTGAAGATGTTGCAATCTGTTCGACCGCTGCGGTCCAGAATTGGAAATGGAGCTTTGCGGATCAGTGCTGCAGCTCAGGCAGCAGTGCCCATCTGCCCCTTTCTTATGGCAGCCCAGCCATCGTTCTGAAGCGTGGATTGCGTCTTTACAAACAGGGCTCTGCCATCTGATAACTCTGCCATGCTTTAGACCTGTAGTGATGAGAGAAATAAATACAGCCCTCTGTTCTGAGAGCCCTACCTAAGGGAGCAGAAAGCTGAGGTCTGTGGAATAAATGTCACTGACTTTGGGGGGAAAACGCTAATTTCTGAACTGAAATCTCCATTTAGAAGTTTAACAATATGTAGTTGTGTTTCTTTAATTCCAGATCCTCAGTAGAGCCCATAAATGTTTTCCATATGTTAGCAAATAAATTTCTCCTGTCTTGTACGTTATAAATCGTCTTCTCAAGAGATGCAATCTGAGTAAGACTAGCCATCCGCTCCGTCCCTGCTGGGGGAAGCATTGTCTTTGCAGCGGGCTGAGATTTGTCTTCATCCATCCAGCCTGCATCTTCAGACTTCTTTAATTAACATTCACTTTGCAAATACCATTTAATAAGGATCGAATGATTCTCTAGTTCCTCGGCCACAGAATTTGCTGTATAATTGAGTTCTTCTGCAGATTTTTTCCTTAATCTACACTTTTACTTTCAATTACAGATAATAATCCCACATGACCATGAAATGAAAAATGTGAAGTGAGTCCAAGGAAAGAAAGGTCAATGTCTTCCAGAGCCTGCAGAGTGCCTGAAACAGTCTCATTTTAGTAAGCCATCCAAAAAAACAGAGGTGTTCATTCTGAAACCCTGTGGCCAGTGTAACTGAATTGCTGCTCATGTGTTTTTCAGATAAAAGGGCAGCAGTGTGCCTGCTTTAGTGCTAAAGACAAGACTCCCACTGGCAGAGGAACGATGGCTCCTGTGTCCTCTCTGCTTTAGGAACCTAAAAATGGCTGCAGTCCTCTTTTGGCTTAACAGGAATGAGAGGAAAAAAAAACCCAAAAACACAAAGAAAACCAACCTTGCTAAGTTTCACAATCATGTTACAGTGGTAGCTGTTTCCTGCAATTAACAGTAATTCTAGAAATCCTAGTCTTTGTTGAAAGTGAGACATTCAGAGTTTTTTGCAGATGGTGATGTGATCTAGAAAAGCATAGCTGAGCTACAGGCTTTGGTTCATTGACATCTAGACTCAATCCACTGCTTCTCTTGCAGATTTCCAGGATCATGGCTAAAAGCTTGCTTGCCTTCTTTCTCCAGAAGCAGAACAGGGCAGATGCTCTCTTTTTTCACTCAGGGGACCTGGACACACCTTGCTGCTACCAAGTTTACCCATTGTTTTCCCTCCTGTAGATAGCTGGCATCCTGCTGCTAGGATCCATACCTACAATCTCCAGACTCAGACTTCCCCCACAAAGCCCTGTATTCAGGGTAATCCCACACCCCTCACAGCCCTTTCTCAACACAGAGATGTTCCCCTGTTGCTCAGGGATGCTGGAGCCAGGAAGCTGTCCCACAGCTTGGATGCTGCTGGCGTTCGCTGCTGGGACAGGCGCGATGCTGGCGGTGCGGGTTGTGGCAGATGTTAACGTTACAGCCCTCCTCGCATCTCTTCTGGTTCCATAATTAAAAAAACAGATTTCTCCCTGCTGCCTTTCCATGAAACCTTTTCCCTACTTTCATCTCCCATGTGGGCCTCAAGTGTGTTACAGCCTCACTATTAAAATTTATAAGATTTATGTTAGTTAGATAAACACTAAATCTAACTTTTCTTGCTGGCTTGGTCGTTTCATATTCAGATGGTTCTTTTAAAGAACGACTGCAGCTCATTTTCTTTAAAGTACATACGTAGAGACCCAGCCCAGTTACTTTGGATGGCTATACTTGTGCATTTTATTTCTTTCATGGGTTTGCACTTGGGATTAAGAAGCAGCAAGAGCCTGCAATTTCCTTTTTTCTTAGGCTGAGATATGGTAACATCAAGGAAAAGCTGCTCTTGGAGGAGCAGAGCTCTGGATGGTACTGGGGGGGTGCAGTGCTTAGGTTGTCACTGCAAGCAAAGCAGCATTGATGCTCCGTAAGACCAAGCAAAGCGACTGGGGACCCATCACAACAATAGAGTCAGGTGGCATTACCTGTGGTATTCTTGCTTAGCAATGCCCAGATAACAGAAGGGTTCAGTGCTCCTAACCACATCCTCTGCACTTGGAGCACAGCTATTCCAACTGAGATGAAAAAATACATAGAACCATAGAATACATAGTTTGCAGAAGACCGCTAAGTCATCAAGTCCAACCATCAGTACATCCCCACCATGCCCACTAACCCATGTCCTTCAGGGCCATGCCTGCCTTTTTCTTGAAAGATTCCAGGGATGGTGACTCCACCATTTCCCAGGGCAGCTGTTCCAATGAATTACCACTCATTCTGAGAAAAAATGTTTCCTAATATCCAACCTCAGCCTCCCCAGGCGCAACTTAAAGCCATTCTCTGTCATCCTATTGCTGTTAACCTGAAAGAAGGGGCTGACCTCCACCTCACCACAACATTTTTTCCGCCTCTTTTCCTCAAGTTGACTTTGTCTGGATGAGTTTATGTTGGTCAATGGGAACAGTAACATTCAAAGAGGTTTTCAGTAGGGAGAATCAAGTGGGAAGTTTTTCTCTGGTTGGCAGGACTTCATAGCGGTGTGCTTCCCCCTTCAGATTTTCCAGTTTCTTTTAAGTGATACTGGAAATTAACCCACTTATTTCTAATTA